AGACAAACTGCAAAGAGAACACTGTGATTTTTGTCATATTCTCAGTTAAAAACAAAAAAAAAAAAACACTGATCTTAGCTAATGAAAGCTCTTCTGGAAATCAATGACACAAACGGCCACAGCAGTGCACGACTGCCTCTCCCAGTCCAGTCGGGCCCCTCGGAGGCCCTCACTGCCTTTTTAAAGAACAGCGTATTTATTGAAACCATGAGAAGGGACAAAGTGCCTTAATCGATATATTTTGTGATTTTTTAAAGATCTATTTAAAACTGCTTTTCTGCTCTTCATACCGCACTTAGTGCAAATGACTATTTCTCTGTACCAGTGATGCTTCTGTTTTAATAAATGCCTCAAAATGGAAGTGGTGTCTTTTGTGCCTGTGACACGGACCAGGGCCTGGCCAGGGACCAGGGAGGGGCTCCTGATGTCCGTGGGGCTGCGGGGGAGGGGGCTCCTGATGTCCGTGGGGCACGAGGATCTGACCGAAGCTCACCTGCCACCCCAAGCACCCCCAGGCAGGGCCCTGCGTGGCTCTGAGCCCCTCTCCATGGGTGCTCTGCGGTGAGAAGGGGCACCTGCCCCCCCGGGCCCCCAGGCACCGGGCCGTGGGCCGCTTCTCCTCCGTGCTGCGGCCCTCGCGGTCCCACCAAGGAACAGCCGCCCAGAGCTGCCACCTGCCGCCCCCTCCCGACACCCAGAGCCTTGCCTGGTTCCCTGGGCGGTAGGAGGACAAAGTAGGGCAGGAAGTGGGGGAGGACATGAAGATGCAGGTGCGGAGGGGAATGCCAGGCTGCGCAGGTGGGGACTGTCCCCAGGGGCCCCTGCAGGTCACTGGGTCAGGTAAGGGCGCAGCCTACTAACCTATCGGCGCCCCGAGAGACATCCTGGTCCCCTGTGGAGAGCAAGTTGGGAGTTTGTTTCTTCCTCTTCCTCCTGCGCATGTCAGCGGTCAGGGCTGCTGCTGCTCTCCAGCACTTTCCTGATGGTGGGCGCCCCAGGGCGGCCCCAGGGCGGCCAGTGCTCCGGCGTGTGGGGGGCTGACGGGAGAAGGGTCCCCTTTCGCCTGAGCTGGATGCAGGTCTCCACCACCTAAGCATGTCCTCACTAGCAGCATGTACCAAGGATCAGGATATGGAAAACTTCTTTTTCCTCCCCGCTGCATGCATTTGGGTCTTGGATGAATACTATTATTGGGCCTCTCACTTACTTGGAAAAAAAAAATATCTTGCTTTATGTGCATTTCATAAGCCTGCTTTCCAGACATCGTTCAAAGGTAAAATTCAGCTCCCCACAGGCTGAAATAACAGTGGGCTGCTCTTACGTACCCAGTTCGCATCCGGATTTAGTATTTTGAACTTGTTTAAAGATTGGCTCCTACAAGTGTGCTCACCAAAACGAACCTACATTCATGGAAGGTATTAGTCTCGTGAGCCACTAGGGAGGCTGCATCCCCATCCTGTCCTCCGAGGGTAAAAAGCAATTCTAGAAAGTACTAGATCTTTGCATAAACAATAAAGAAAGCTTCCAACTCCCAGAGTCGGGGAAATAAACACGTTGAGTACGCAGAAGCCTTGGGGCCCACGTAGCACCTGCAACCTGGCACCTGATGGCCTATTTCATAACCTGCGCCTCATCCACCAAGGCTGACACCCACCGGCAGCTGACAGAGCCTCGACTAGGAGGGCCGATGGTCAGTCAGCATGGCCGGGGGTCCCGCACCTGTCCCTCAGTATGGCCACCACTGCCACCATGTGTGAGCAGGGGTGGGAAGGTAGGCTGACCTATGGCAGCATGCCCACCCCCGTACACACAAAGTGAGCCTAGAAGTGGGCCACAGGAGAGGGTTTTCCTAAGTACACGAGCGCCTGCAGCCGTATTCGCTTCCTAACTCCCAAAGCACTACCATAGGATTCCTAAAATGATCCCAGAAGGTACACAGTTTGATTTCTATTCACAGACCAGGGAGCAGGTGCTCAAGGAAACAGACTTTGCCCAAGGCTACCAGGCCGTAGATTGAGATGGCGTGCACACACACGTATAAAATTATATTACGTATGTATAAGAGTTTCACAGCCGGGATCGAAACCTATAAAGTTGGAAATGAACTTCACATGACATAATTGTGCTAGAAAGTGGGAGGATGTGAACGAACTTCACTCGCAGAGTGACAAGGGAAAACCGAGGCAAAATAAAAGTGATGCTTCCCGCTAGCCGGGAAGAGTGGGTGCGGGGCCCTTCACCAGCTGCCCTCTGGGGGGAGATGGGGCCTGCAGGGGAGCGGGAGGCCAGGCGCCCGTGTAGGCGGCGGGCAAGGCCCCTGCATCTGGCCGTAGCGTGTAGAAGGGCAGGCCTGCCTCAGCGGAGATGTGGCGGGGACGCAGGGACGTCAACCAGCTGCAAGAGCTAGAGACACATCACCTTCACAAACCATCCGCCAGGTGGACAGTCCCCTCCCTGGGCCCCCCGGCGTACATGTGAACGAGGGGCTCTAAGTCTTGTGTGTGCTCCTGGTGACTGGCCGCCAGAGCCCATGCGACCTGAGCCCTCGCGGCGCCTAAACGGCCTCCAGCAAAAGGCTGCTGCCGGACAGGGCAGGGGTGCAGTGGCGGGGCTGGGGGGCCCAGGCCCGGCTGACTCCCCGCAGCCCAGACCCGGCGCGCCCGGCCTTCAGGAGCGGGGCCACCAGGCCTGCGCCACAACTGCCCGTCACGGAAAAGGTGAGCATTCCTTGGACGTGAAGCAAAACCCAACGCTGGACTCCGGGCCCCAGTGTTCTCTTTATACCCGTTACCTGGAACAGAATAAATCACAAATGCAAAGTGCTCACTTCGCTAGAGTTGGACATGCCAGGTGCGCTCCAGCATCAGGTGAAGGCCCCGGCCTACGGGCTGGGACGGAGCAGTCCCTGGAGGCTCAGCTCACACTCCACTACGCCCGCGAGTTAGAGAACCACCTCCACTGAGCGCGACGTATGGCTCCCTGCGACCAGCTGTCATCTGTCATTTTTTACTTGACCAGCCGCCTCCTCCGCCACTCTCCATCTCCTTTGGTCGAAATACTGCTGTCTTGTGCATGTAGCCTTGAGGGTATCTTGTGCATCCAGGTACCTGCTCTGCCCCCGTTCGGGCCACGGTTCCTGGGGGGTCATCCCCGCAGCTCCAGGACCGTAAGCAGGGATTCTGACTTGCGCTTGCACCCCTCCTTCCAGGATTCAAGAACGGGGCAATGTAAAGACAAATGGACTTCACCTAATCCAACGGAGGCAGAAAGGCAAAGATTCTTGAGCAATTCCTGCTACAAAACCTTCGGGACCTTCCTAAGTCGTTCTTTAAACTTCCTTCTGAGCTCAGAGGCTCCCACAGCCTTCAGGGGGTCCCGATTGCTGGTGGGTGGCTCGCAGCAGAACCGGTCCGGGCCCTCTTCCGAGACTGTGCCTCTGGCCCCGTAGGCAACGCTCGTCTCCCTCCGACGTGGAGTTTGTTTCACCGGATGACAGGTCACCGACCCCATTCGAGTATCTTCACCGCTCCATGGAAGCTACGCCTCTCGGGGACACGACACGGTGTTGCAGCCTCAGCTCCGAGGCTCGCGTGTCGCTGATGGTCTTGCTGGGGCTTTGGCTCTGGTTTTGGAACCGGCGGTCAGGCCGGCACACAGCGTCCTGGCTACGTTCCGCGCCAGCATCACCGGCCGCCGCCACCGCCGCTTTTCAAAGCAGCAGCTGGTGCGTACAAGTGTTCTCCGGGGGAGGAGCCACCAATACCCACCCGGTCGCCACGGACACACACTCCCACCGCGCTCTGCCAGTGACCCCTCACGCTGCGGGAAGCGCCCACGTCTCCAGCAGCGCGGCTCAGGCTTGCTCTTACTTTGCTAACTGGACCTCTGGGTCTGCTCCCAGCTGCCTCCAGCTTAGGTGCCACGCATCTCAGGGGTTTCATGAACGTAAGGCATCGGACACAACTTCCTCCTGTACACGTGAAGAGGGCTTGAACTTTTGACCAGGTCCATGATGGCTGAACGGACGGCAAACTCAGCAGACGTCCTCCGAGGGTCTGCTCTAAATGGAAGGACTCTAGGCTTCGAGGCCGGATGCACGCTCGGCGTATCGCAATTCTAGCCCATACTCTGACCTTAAGAGAAGCTAAAGAGAATTATAGGGACGCCCGGGTGGCTCAGCAGTTGAGCGTCTGCCTTCGGCTCAGGGTGTGACCCCAGGGTCTTGGGATTGAGCCCCAGGCTTCTCCCTCTGCCTGGGTCTCTGCCTCTCTCTCTGTGCCTCTCATGAATAAATAAAATTTTAAGAAAATCTCTGTTACTGAAAAGAGGCTGTTTTCTTTCTCAAAAACAGGCTGTTTGGCAGACACCAGTGTGCAGAAGTAATACAACCAGTACTGAGGGCCCCACTCTGAGCAGCGCCTCGCAGCGCCAGCTCCCCACGCCGCCCCTTCGCTGGGTGCCACTGTAGCTCCGTGTTGTAAATGAGCAGCGGGGGCTCAGGGACGTTAGGTGACTGATGCACGGGCACAGGGTTAGTTAACGGGGAGCCTGGATTTAGATTCAGGCGGTCCGACTCCACAGCTGGTACTCGGAACCACCACCCACGAGGGTGTATCCAAGAACCTCGAACCCAACGACCTGCGTCGAAGGCCTGTCTACAAAAAGCACAGTTCTTCAGGGTGATATAAGAAAGTGTCCTCGATTACCTTCAGGTGTGTTTCTCTAACTTTATTTGGTGATTAAAACCATGATAAACTGTACTACCGGATACTCTGAATTTCAGAAAGGACGTGATATGCATCTTATTTTGTATCAGTATGTGCCTTCGGATTAAAATTAAGTCATTACCGAACCCTGTACAGAGACACAATAATGACTGGATACTAGAACGCACGTTACAAGAGTGTAAAAGCTACACAGTGAAATAAGATACTCAGAGGACATGGACTAAAAAAAAAAAAACCACCCCAATTTTACATACCTGAAAAAAAACCAAGAAGTAGAGAAAAATTGATAAAGAGGGACCTCTTTATTGCATTATTTATAAAATAATAGTATAATACAGTCATCAAAAATGGAGTCGAAACTTTGTTTTTGGTGTCTTGTGTTCTGCAGCCAATTTTCGATCATCTTCACAATCCTCAGGACTTGCTTTTTTTTGTTGTCCAGAGTGCGTCCCTGCAACCCCTGCCCCGCCCATCATTCAAAGCACAAGGGAATAAACTCTCCAACAGGTTCCGAGAGGGATTTCCTAGCAAATAAATTAATCCAATAACTCATGAGTAAAGACTTTTTTTTTCAAAGAAATACAATAAAAACAAAAATAGATGAAGTATAATTTAATCTTTCAGATGGTTCACAGAAGGCACCTCAAGATTTTATTGTGCTATTTTCCTCATGCGGTGATTTTAAGTGCCTGTAACAGAATTCTGGTTAGTGAAGTTTTGGACAAAAAAAGTTTCTTATGTAGGGCACATAGCATTGGATGACCACGGATACAGTATGGGGATTCGGATGTGTATATTTGTACTAACTAGGGCACAATTCATAATATGCTAAGAAAACTTTAAAAATTAAAGTTATAAAATGAGTATTTTTAGCACATTTAGTAACAGCTACTTGTTTTAAACTATCATTTCATTTTTGATGACCAAATTATATTTGACCATAATTAAAGAACATACAACTTTAAAATGACATTAAATAACCATGGTTACAACAGAACTATGTCACATGAAACGAAGAAAGGAAAGTCACATACATGTACTGAATGGCACTGTGGTTTTCAAAGCCATTCTTGGGCAAGGTTTTCAATCCATCCGTAGACATCGATTTAAAACATGTCTCTAACTCAGTGTGGTTCCAGAAAGAGGTGAAATCAGTGTTGATCACGCGACTGCCTGCCAATCATTCTATGTTGATCACTGAGTAAGTATTTTTGATTATCCTGACGACCATAATAACGGAGCCACAACCAGAAACGGAGATGTGGCCGGCTCCAACTATTCCACTGCAGAGAAATGGTCGACTTAAAAAAAAAAACAAAAAAACAAAAAAAGGCTGAAATAAGTGGAAAAACTAGAAATGGCTGAATCACTGTACCTTTAGACACAACCATATATCTCCGTTTTGCCATATACTATTTGGTACTTTCTGATTCAGTAGTTGGGGTAAAAAAAGTTTCCGTATTCAAACGTATCTACAGAATATCAATATAAAATGTGTGAATATATACATTTAATACACACACACACACACACACACACACACACACACTCTCACAGGTTGAGACATCAGCACTTACCCATACCCCCCTTTCTCCCAAATGACTCAATGCATCATCCTTGAGACCAGCTAGATGCTCTGAGGCTGCAACATATGGCTACAGAGGTCAAACACGAGCACCCACTCGGGCTGGATTAAATTGTTCCTCCTCATGATTTCTGACAAGTAGTAATACCGCTTATATAACAACTATATCTCAATAACTTAGAATTCAGAGTATAAAACCAGTGTTGTGAACAGTTAACTCTCTCACTGGGTGAAGAACATTGATCTTTTCATTCTTTTTCCACTAAAGGTAAGAGAGTGCATCAAACTAGATCACATTGAACTGTACAAATGATCTTTACTCTTAATCTAAACAAACATGTGTTAAAACATTCTGAAATGCTGCATCCTTTGATTTCTTCATTTTTTCAATTGCCCGATGTAGGTCCTGTTGTTGCACGGGCCGGATTTCATCTTCATCGTGGCTACAATGCAAACAAAACAGCCACATGGTCAAATGACTTTGTTTTTTGTTTTTTTTTGTTTGTTTGTTTCTTTTGGTCAAATGACTTTGGAGTACACCTCCCTCGGGTATGCTACCAACATCAGAACGTGAAATCTCTTTCCCACCAAAGACCCTCAAAGAGAGCCAAAATTAACCACTTCCTGTGAATTCTTCCAGAAATTCTCTAGGCAGATGCAAGTCTGCAGAGACTTTTAAGAAGCACTAACTGCTGGGAGGTAGAAGCCAAAATGGCTGGTTATGAATACACATCTGAGGGGTGGTGCTGAAAACCAAACACCTCCCACTAAGAGTCGAGTGCAGAGTATCAGCAGAACGGGGAAATGTTAGATACAGGTGTGCAGTTTATCTAAATGGGAATAGAATTCCAATCAAGAAATCAAAAGTAGCATTCGCGGGCATATATTCATGTACATAGTGCAGCACGGAACAAACTGAAAATAAAATTATTTGCTATTAACAAAAACCAACTACTCTAAGTCCTCCCCTCTTCAATGATGAGAAAAACTAAATCCAATATACAATGTCTCCTTGTTTGTAATTTACAGACACTTAGGATAAGCCAAGTCTATCAGCCAGATTTTTCATATTGAAATAGAAAATTTCAAAGGCCTTCAGGAGAGCAGAAAAAGTGGACCTTTATGATTAAGGTAATTTATTCACACAAAATGTACTCATAGGTTGTTTTTTTGCCTCTCTTCATTATCTCACACATAAGAATAGAAACCTTTGGAAAGTAGACTTGGCTGGAGTCAGAGGTCAAAAATATTCCCAAGGTTAGCATTAGGGGAACTAGAGTAATCTGGCAACAAATAAATGAAGTGACCCACTCTATAACGGGGCCCCCGGGAGCACCAAAGGCAGGTGCAGAACGAGTGCACACATGGCTAACCTTTCTACGCCAAGGGAAACATTTTTGGTGAAGCTCACTATGGCAATGTACTATAATTAAAAACACAGCAAAAGAGGCAAATCCAGGTCCTGTGGAGTGAAAGCCTCAGGGGGGAATGAGGAAGGGGCCCAAGAAACAAAAGGGCAAGAGGTGGAGAGCTCATTCAACACAGGCCCACATCGGTCTGCTAAGAGTTACAGCAACTCTTCATCAGAAGGTATTCTGAGGACGCACAGTGCTCCGCTGGCCCTTGTGCGGGTCGTGGTTCATCAGGGCCAACTTATTCTGGTTTTCTAATGTCTTTGCTGAAACAGGGGGGTACAAACAGTTTCTCAAACCGATGCTTTGAAGTTTGCTGCAGTGACAACAGCTTCTTTGTTTAGTAAACACATCCCTGTGAACAAGCTGAAGTATAGCCCCAACAAAGGCCCTCACCCAAGGCCCTCACCCCATTTACGTGTGAAATTCTGGAAGACCACAGGAAATGAGATTAGATTTAAGAGATTTAATTTAAGGTGGAAAACAAGCCAGGAGCACTGGAGAACGAAGCTCCCCTCTCAGAGGCAGGAAGCTAAGCTCCTATCGGCTTCTGGTGACCCAGTCCCTGGACGTTCGGTGCAAAAGTCAGCTCTTGTCTTCCTCTTCATTCCAGAGCCTCCCCATGACCCACGTCTCCAATTCACTTTCAGAAAGAACTTTCTTTTAGGAAAAAAGGCAATTAATACGGTTGGGGTGAGCATTAATTCAAGTTCACCTTGATCCCATAAGCAGCGGAGGTATTGTAAAGAAAAATGAACGAATGCAAAAGCTCTAAGATGGTCTGACAAATACTAGAGCTCATACCTTTCCTCTGATGTAGAATTCACATATTCCCTGACACACAGGAGGGCAGCGTCCCGGCACATCTCTTTCAGGTCACTGCCTGAGAAGCCATCTGTCTCCTGGGCAACTTCTAACAGGTCCACATGCCTATCCACCTTCAACAGGGAAAAAGAATATAAAAAGTGTTGCAGAGCATAGATCCAACAGTCTTCTTAAAAAATGTAAAGTATACTGGGATAGCAGGGGAGGAGGATCATCAGTTTCCAATCTTTAACTATAAAAGCTGGAATTTTGAAATCTGATTTTCGTTAGTTGTCACAACACCTGAAATAGTGAAATAAACCCTCACCAGCCGTACCACACAGGGATGAAGAAGAACAGATGCGCAAACACTGTCAGACTCTCTCTGGCGGCTCTCGGGAAGGTCCTGAGTTGACCCTTCCCTACAATATATTCCACAGATGTGGCAAACAGCCTGTATCAGGTCCTAGTCCATTCCCACAAACATCTCAACTGAAATACTCGCTTTCCCTTTAACTGCAGTGCTTGCTCTTCGACTAGCTCACACTCAGCACCAGCAGTCTTGCTCCTCGACCCAGGGTCACACGGTCAAGCCAAGTAAGTCCTCGTCCTGGGCAGACAGGGACCCGGGACAGTATAATCACACTAAACCTCTACGTAGATTAAAGAGAGAAAATGAACAAGAAAGATGTACTTACGATGACTAGCATCTATTGGATGATTCCTGTGTGTCATTCCTGTGCTAAGCACCCTACATGTGCTATTCTCACATTTAACCCTGTCAGGTGGTATTCTTGTTTTTCTTTTCAGATAACAGTGAGACCTGGAGGGATCCCTGGGTGGCGCAGCAGTTTAGCGCCTGCCTTTGGCCCAGGGCGCGATCCTGGAGACCCGGGATCGAATCCCATGTCAGGCTCCCGGTGCATGGAGCCTGCTTCTCCCTCTGCCTATGTCTCTGCCTCTCTCTCTCTCTCTCTGTGTGACTATCATAAATAAATAAAAATTTAAAAAAAAAAAAAAAAGTGAGACCTGGAAAGCTTAAATAAATTGCCCACGGTCACTACCAGAGCCAGGATTTGGGCACAATGATGTAAGGTCCAGCTGCATCTTTTCCCCACACAGCTAACCATTTGTCTGAAAAACATCTACTTTTCCCCACCGACCTGAAATGCTACCTTTATTAGTTACTAGATTCTATAGAAGACCCAAGTATTCAGGTAATGACGGCAAGTCTACACAAGGACAAGAGACGTGGAAGTTACACGGCGACATGGGGTCAGCTCTGTGACTGTGACCTCCTGTGACGACAGTCTTCTCACTTCTAAAAGTCGGGGTTAAATAAACAGAAGTCATTTTCTCTGATAAAAAGAAAAGTGAATCCAGAAGGTAGGCGTGGAGCTTGCAGCAGTCATAAGTGAAGAAAATGGTCAATACACAGTAAATCTAAAGCAGCTTTCAAATCCAAACAGTAAGAACAATCATTCAATTTGGGGTGGAGAAACTGTGTAGAACTAGAACACAGACATAAGAACAGGTGAGGCAGAGGGGCGTGCATGCTGAAGCATTTGGAAGTCTAGTACTGGAAAGAGGGAAGAAATACTGTTAACTTGGGAGTTTAGGTACATATGTCAAAAAATTCTGAGGGTACCAGTAAAAGGAGGAACGTGTAGCTTCCAGGAGGTCTTGTGTATGACATAGTGATAAAGTCAGAAAGATGAACAAATCAAGTATGAGAAAAGATCAAAAAGAAGATTCGAGTCATCGTGGGGAGCAAGATGAACAGAGGTAGTGCACCACAGTGTTAAGAGGAAGGCTCCATCAATCCTTTGCTATGTGAGCCTGGATAATTTATTCTATAACTTCTCTGGGTTTATCCCACCTCTATGCTAGGCACACGGCATACACCCTACAAGTAACCCCTTTCTACAAGGTAATAGCTATCAGACAAACTGTGAACTCATGAAACCTGTTTTTATTAGGCAACCAGGAAGGCAGCCCCCAAGTTTAAAAAGGTCTTGAGTCCTGGGAGCAATACCGGAATAAATTAACGACTCCTAAAATGGCTGGAAGCACAGCAGTTACTGCATCTACCATGGAGGATGCACAAGCAGGGCACTCGCAGCATTTCACACACGTCATTTAAATTCTCAAAATGATTCTGAGACTGTTGGCATTACCTCCACTTTCCCAGTGAGAAAAATAAGGCAGAGATGCTCAACAGTACCTACCCACGGTTACCTAGCAAGGAGGGGCCCTCAATCCTGTCTCCAAAGCCCATGCCTGTGAAAGACTCCTGCTGTGCATGAAAAAAGTCTAAGTTCAGATTCCTTTATGTACGGAAAACTCTGATCTCCTTAGTACTGAGACAAGATACCTGTATAAGGTATACATTTTTTTTTAAAGATCTTATTTATTTATTCATGAGACACACACACACACACACACACACACACACACACACACACACACACACACACACACAGAGGCAGAGACCCAGGCAGAGGAAGAAGCAGGCTCCATGCAGGGAGCCTGATGTGGGACTTGATCCTGGGACCCCAGGACCATGCCCTGGGCTGAGGGCGGCACTAAACCGCTGAGCCACTGGGCTGCACAGGCATACATTTTTTTTAGTTCTAATTCTTTTTATACTTAATACTTTAAGCAAAAATCACTACCCTATCTTTTAAATGAGTGAACTGTGTAAAGGAACTATCAATAATGAAATGTGAAAGACTAGAAAAGAATATCGTTTGAGGTAGCTCTTAACAAAATCAAATTAATTTTTTTCAGATTCTAGTGAAGTAACAATATGCTTTAAGCATATAAATACCAGCCAGTGGGAAATGAGATGTTCCCAAGTCGACAGCCAGAGAGCATTCATATTTTGCATCCTAAAACTGGAGACTAATTCTTTGTGCTTTGAAAAACAGAATGTAAAAAAATTCCTTATATCCATGACAAATACAATTCTAAAGAATTTCCAAAGATGCTACTGTGGAAAAAAAAAAGGAATACTGGGGTTCATGGGTGGCTCAGTCCTTCGGACCCTGCGGTCTTGGAATGGAGTCCCAGGTTGAGCTCCCTGTTCAGCAAGGAGCCTGCTTTCCCTCTCCCTTTGCCCCTCCCCCTGCTCATGCTCTCTGTCAAATAAATAAATATTTTTTTAAAAAAACAGCAGAATACTGAAATCAAAGTTTAGAAATAATGAGGAGTTTCTTAAGTTAAATGTGAAAACATTACAGCCTGTGTAAAGTATGGCTATCTTATGAAACAGAGCTTAAATTTTATCATTTATATTCATCATCTATATGTAAATCATACCTATCATCTATATCTATATTGAACCATACAAATGTTAACTTCCAGTAATACACCCTTCATTAAATTTTTTAAATTAAATAATTTTATTAACTTGAAGTCTCTACAAAATTATCAGCAATTACCTTCATACGTGATAAATTTCAAGCTACAACAAAGCCATCGTAATTCAAAAGAACCTGTGGAATTGTTTTATCTCTTTTGTTTTCTTCCCTGAACCGCTCATTGCTGCCTGTCTTCATTAAAGGTTTACCAATTAAGTGTCTTTTCCTAAACAGCACTATGACTATACAATGTCTTTTGAAAGTAGTTATCAGATATATAGCTAAAAGGCAAATGTAATTGGTTGATTTCTCGCTCATATAGGACAGGAGTTCTTTACCCAGAATACACAAAGTTTTAGCAATTTCCCTGAAATTGTACAAAATATTTCATGTAATGTAGTTTTTAAGAAAAGACTACAGAGCATTTATCTTTTATTAAATGGCTCTATCATCCCCAAAATAGTAATCTCTGTAATTTGTTAGGTTCTTCAAATTTTTGCAAGTAGCATGTATGTTTTCTCTGATTTTTTAAAAAATATTTTATTTATTTATTCGAGAGAGAAAGAGAGGCGGAGACACAGGCAGAGGGAGAAGCAGCCTCTCCGCAGGAGCCCAATGTGGCACTCGATCCAGGACCCTGCGATCACGCCCTGAGTCAAAGGCAGATGCTGAGCCACCCAGGCGTCCCTCTCTGATACGTTTTAAAGAAAAAAAGGAACAGGGAATTACTGAAAGATACAGGAGAAAAGACATACATGCTTTTGGACAGAAACCTTCAACATAAAAAAAAAATTTTAATTATCTTGAATTATGATCCATTAAAAATATGAGTGTTTGTTTTTCCCTGAATAAGACAAATTAATTCTAAAATTCGTACAGAAATAGAAGCAAAAATAGCCAGGAAAATGAGCTGGGGGACCAGGGCTGTCTCACCCTACTTGCTGTTGAACAACCACTCCTGTGCTATTACAGCACAATCCAGACCATGAAAAAATGTGGACAAACCCAACCTGGCTGTTTCAACAAATAAACTAAAAGAAGGTGCGGGGGAGAAGGAGAGTAAAGGAATCATCTACAGCCCACAGATTAAGAGACCGAAAAATTCTCAAATAATTGCAAATAACGAACTTTATATGGATTTTGAGTCAAACAAATACATGGTAGAAAAACAAACATCCCATTCAGGAGACAAAAGGAAATCTGAACAGATGAGGTATTTAATGATAATAAGAAATGACTGTCAATTTTTTGTTGGGTGTAACAATGCTTACGAGGTTGAGTCAAAAAATGAAAGAATTCTTTCTTTTAAAGATAAAACTAAAATAAACATGGGAGGTGGGGAAACAGAGTGGAGACAGAGCAGAATCTGTGATCGAGGATGGAGGAAGACCACAGAAATGCAAGAATCTCTCACTGTGGGAATCTTCATTTTTTTAGTTTAGAAAACAAGTTCAAATAGTGAGTTTATTTAAGTTTTTAAAGTAAACTCTACACCCAACCTGGGGCTTGAATTCATGACCCCAAGATCCAGAGTCACATGCTTCACCAACTGAGCCAGCCTGGCACCCTTCAAATAGTGAGTTGTTTTTTTTTTTAAAGATTTTATTTATTTATTTGAGAGAGACAGAGCAAGAACAGAGGGGAGGTGGCAAAAGAAGAGGAAGAGGGAGGGGGAGACTCCCGGCCGAGCAGGACCCTGAGACCAGAACCTGAGCTGAAGGCAGATGCCCAACCAAGCTACCCTGATGCCTCTCAAATGGTGAATTTAGATATGAGATTTAGGGGATGCCTGCCTGGGTGGCTCAGCGGTTGAGTGCCTGCCTTTGGCTCAGGGCGTGATTCTGGTCCTGGGATCAAGTACCACATCAGGAGCCTGCTTCTCCCTCTGCCTGTGTCTCTGCCCCTCTCTCTGTATCTCCCATGAATAAATAAATAAATCTTAAAAAAAAAAAAGATATGAGATTTAGGACAGTGAGGAATATGATGTTACTCAAAACTCAGAAATCATAATGGGGGAAAGATCCCAATAAATTTAAAAAGACAAACAAGAAAAAATATTTTCAAGTCATATAAACAAAGAGAAATTTCCCTAATGTATTAGATTTCCTATAAATCGATACAAAAAAGAGCACTGCAATAGAAAAATGGGCAAAGAATATGAAAAAGTATTCCACAGGAAAAAATTCAAGTGGCTCCTAAACATATTCATGTCATCCCTAAATATACAATGAGATACTGTTTTCTACCTATCACATCAACACAAAGTTCCATAGCATTCTGTTGGTGAGGCTACAGGGAAAGAGGTACTCTAATATTGCTGGTGTGACAGTAAAGTAGTACAGACAATTTGGCAATAGTGATCAAAATATAAATCATATCCTTTGATCTAGTGATTCCTCTTCTAGAGAATCCACCCTAGTAATATTCCTGCACAAGTGTGAAGAGACCTGAATACAAGTTTATTATTCAATGCAGCATTTTTATAATAGTAAAAGACCGGAATCAACCTGAATGTTCTTCATTATGGCACTGATTAAATAACTTCTGGTATAGCCATATATACAGTGAAATCCTATACAATCCAAAACAAGCAAGCAAAAAACCCAAAACAGAGAAAGAACAAAGACACTATGTACTAATATGAAAAGATATCAAAGATAAGTGAAAAAAGCAACACAGCGTATACAATTTATTAATATGGGTTACGTAGAATAGGGAAGAGGAATAATAGCATATTCCAATTTGCTGGTATGGACAATGTCATCTGAAAGGACACAGAAGAAACACAACAGAGGAAACAAGCTTTTTCCCTGAATACCATTTAATGTACATATTTTAATTCTGAAGCATGTGACCATGAATATACAAACTATTAAAGATTTTGATTATCATACCTTCTTAAATCTAAATTCCAATTTCAAAAAATATTGCAATTAAATAAATTAAAAAAAAACATGCTACTGCACAAAAATAAATGTACCTTATATAACTGGAGAACAGCCTGAAAATTTTAATCTGTAAATATGAAAACATGGGGCTTTAAAAACAGCAGACCATCTTTAGTAAGTTCAAATGCACCGGGGCTACTGAGTTGCATGAATGGCCAACAGATTTACAGTGATTTATGCCAAGTACAAAGCTGTTTATTCTCATATTTACTTTTTCATTTCTCTCTAAAATAGTTTTATGAACATGAACACACGTATTTATAGGACAGGGAAAGCTGTAACTTTCTACTTACATTTTCATTTTTCAAGATGAGTTTCAGGATTGCTTCTCTTTGTTTTAGAGCCTAAAAACCAGAATGATTTCCAGTTAGAATTAAAAAAAGGAATCAGGATCAGCCAGTTTTCCTAATATTTCTTCTTTGCTCTGTAAACCATCCGGCAATACCTACAGGAAATGACAGAAACTCTAAACTATTTGCTACATCAAGGTCTAGGTTTTAGACTCTTAATCATTTGTGGTCGACCTACTGAATTCCCATCTTATTATTATTATTTTTTAAGATTTCATTTATTTATTCATGAGAGACACAGAGAGAGGCAGAGACCCAGGCAGAGGGAGAAGCAGGCTCCATGTAGGGAGCCCGACATGGGACTCGATCCCAGGACTCCGGGATCACGCCCTGAGCCAAAGGCAGACGCTCAACTGCTGAACCACCCAGGCATCCCATGAATTTCCATCTTCTTATTCTGAATCCCTAGTGATCAGCACAAGGTCTGGGAAATAACATGCCCTTAAATGGTTCTTGAATGAGTGGATGAACAGCTAGGACGACCAATGTCTTTCCCTCATGGCTCTGCAAGTCTCCATTTCTTTAGTCAGGAAACTTCTGAAAACTTAAACACTGCAGTAAAACTTCTACCATTAACTGAAAGAGATGGCAACAATACCCTCCTACCTCCTTCCACTTGGCCTTGTAACTTCCACACTTGCTAGTTTATATTAGTGAATTTCTGTTTAGCATTGACAGTACATTTGTTTCTATACTTATATGCTCCCCCCGCCCCCCCATGATGGTTCATAGTATTATACCAGACAACAGAAGCTTTTACGGAATACCTTATATAGATGATAAATATAAGTGCTTTAATAAATTATCATGGCTAAACTCATTCCTATGCCCATAACCACTAAAAACAGAGCTAGTTATCATGAATTATCTCTCATAGTGACCAGCAAAACAAAGCCAAACCCTGCTGTTTCTGTAATTCAAGAGTGTTACGTATGAAGGTAAATTTGCTATATGATGTGATCACCCGTAACTACTTTTGGTTAACAACCACTTAATTTGGAGAAGAAGTTTTAAAGTAAGGTTGATCATATACTTTGGTATCATAGTTACAAAATAAGAAAAAATTACTGTATAAAGTGTGTGTGTTCACTAAAAACAGAATGAAAAGGGGGTTGTGAAAGCCCAGTTTTTACATTTACAGTCCACAAATTTGTAATAAATTTGACAAATTCTGTTACAGACCATTTTGTTAACTAAAACAATTAATATATTTAACTTAGAACTCTAGTACAGGCAACTTTCCACGCTGTTGAGTGCTATGTTCGTTCTACTGTACCTCAGAAACCTTTGTTTCCTACTAGACTACAAGCAGCAGTTCTATCACTGTAATCTTGGTCTTTACGACCACTGAGGTAAATTAATTCTCTTTCAAAATGTCCCGCTGTCTTGCTAACAAAATTAAAGTGAAATCTTGGGCGAGGGAGGAGTTCGTCCACACCTGGCAGCAGCCTGCCTTTCCAGCCCTTCGTCCCTCCATTTTCCGGACGCCTGAAATGAACTCCCCCAGGGGCCATCATTAAACACGTGTTCCCACACCTTCTCGCTTTTGTTCATTCAGGTAAAAAGACTTTCCCTGCCTTGCTTGCATTCGAAATTCCTGCCACCCTTTCAAGGCCCAGCTGGATTCGCAACTACTCTGACAGAATTATTAGTTTTCATCATCATTTCAGGTTCTCACATTTCTTTAAACATACTTTTGTAAAGTACATTTTCTGTCATTTATTTGTCTGCTCTTCCTGCAACAGAGAGGAGGCTGGGGGCCGTGTTCCCCTCACCAGAGCCTGGCAGGTGCCCAACACTTACCAGTGCTCAACACTAGTCTAAATTGTACAGTCTCCTACAACAAGTCAAAAAATGTCTTCCCTGATTTGTCGGGTACATTTTCTAATAGAGGGCTAACTTTGTGCACATTCTCAAAGGGGGAGACGTAGCTGCAGAAAGTAATACATCAAAGCAATTTTACAGAGGCCACAACCATCAATTTTAGGAAACCCTGTTTACTGCCACAAACTGGATAGTTGCAGACTACACAAGGGGACAAGTATTTTTTGGCCAGAGACTGTAAGTGGTATTAAAATACTTTTATTTCAAATTTTGAAGGAATGACACTGAGAGTTCCTCTACACAGCTATACATGTAGCATGCTGATTACATGGCACACAGATTCAATTACTAACCGTTTTCTTCTTCTTCAATCTAAAGGCACATAAAATGCAAAATGTGAAGACTCTGTGCAAAAATTATAGAGTACCGCTAAGCTATAATCATCCGCTTGAGGGTATTTCTTGACTAACAAAAAGTATGAGAAAGGAGACAGCCCTGGTTCAAGGAAGCCCGGACATCTGCATTAAGATCAAGTGTAACACCTCAGCTACCAGTTAATCATTAATCCTAACAAAGGAGAGCACTGACTACAACTGCCAGGAATTAATCAGATAAATCCCAGTTGTTCTTCCTGTTAGCCCTCCTAATTTCACCCTGTGATAAACCAAAACTAGAATTTAGGTTTTCTATAGACCTTCAGATATAACTTGCTACATTCTCAAGAAAATCACACAAGTAGCTAAACAAAATTGAGGTAATTATATTCTTTGAAGAAAAGCAAATACTCATCTTAGTAAAGAAAGAAAGAAGGAAAACAAAGCAAGTCAGAGTAGAGAGGACAAATAGCTACAGGGATTCTCACCCCATTCATTTCCTGCCTGTCATAAATAGTAAATAAGTGCTATTAAAAATACCATTCCTTTCCCGTAAAAAGCTGAGTATTTAACTGTGCATAACATATCATCAATCGAAACCACTTACAGGCTGGTTGATATGAAATCTCGTGGGCATTCTTCTCATGATAGCTGAGTCAAGATCCTGAGGGCGGTTGGTAGCTCCCATCACTATGACCTGGGCATATCAAGAAAACACAAGGTATTAAATCTACCAGTAATGCTCCTTTTAGGATGTTATTACTAGGGCTTCGAAGATACAAAAATTAAGGAGTGTTTAAATCTTTTATAAGAAATTATTTTAATCCATTATTACTCAAAAATTTATAAATACAAATCAAAGTTAATCCTAACTAGATCAAATGATAACAGAGCTGGTAAGACTGACACATTTCACCAGCCTTTTCATAACTAAAATAGTATACTGTTCAGTTAAGGAAGAATTATAAAGATTTAAAATAAAAAAGGTTGTTATTTGCTCAATGGCTACCTGATGAATAACTAAAAGCCTATGGCTATACGGGGGATACTTCCAAGTCCTTTGATACTAATATATAAAGGAAACATCTCCCCCCAGTCTCAGGATTTTGGTGATAGTAAGAGGTATCATGTAGTTTTCTCTCTAGATTTCACATCATCATTTCATAACACGATCAGCATTGCTGGTGACATCTTCTCAATGCTATAATGAAATCTCAAGCAATCAAACTTTCAACAAGGGCAAGAAAAAAAGAGCAAAAATCAAAGCAGTGGGTAGAATTTTAAATAAAAGAAAAAAGAATGGGGAGCCTGGCTGGCTCAGTCAGTGGACAGTGCGACTCTTAATCTTTGGGTCATGAGTTCTCTACCCAATGTGTAAAGATTACTGAAAAAAAAAAATAAACTTAAAAAAAAAAAAAAAGAAAAGAAAGAAAATGCTGGTGATCCTGCCAATCTCTGGATCTGTATCACTTTATTTATAAAAGATGTGGAAATGAAAAATCAACCCAAATTAAAAAACAGTCCAGGGGATCCCTGGGTGGCACAGTGGTTTAGTGCCTGCCTTTGGCCCAGGGCGTGACCCCAGAGTCCCCGGATCAAGTCCTGCGTCCTGTGTCCTGCGTCGGGCTCCCTGCAGGGAGCCTGCTTCTCCCTCTGCCTCTGCCTCTGTCTCTGCCTCTATCTCTGCCTGCCTGCCTCTCTCTCTCTCTCTCTCTCTCTCTCTCTCTCTCGGTCTCTCATGAATAAATAAATAAATAAAATCTTAAAAAAAAAAAAAACCAGCCCAATATACTACCCAAAATGAAATTTATCGGTATTCTGAAGAAAACTTTTCTATAATATAATTTTATTTCAGCCTAAGAGGTTTTAGATTTCTGAAATTATCTAACTCCAGAACATGTTAAAAGATCCACTAAATTTTATATTCTACTTCTACTCTACATTTAATAACATTCAAGAGCCAAATTATTTTCAATTTAACTGTGAGAGGTTGCCACCTAGAGGGGAAAAAATGTAAATACAAACATAAATTTGAGAAATGTTAGCTCCACAATATAATGCAATTTTGTATTTATGTTGTCCTAAAGTAAAAATATTAATGTTCTTATTATTTTTCAAATTTATTGACTTTCCACAACCCTACTGAATTAATAAGGTAAAAATCTCTATGAAATTTAAAAAGAAAAAAAGAAAGACTTGTTTTACAAGTAGGATCTACATCGCAATGCAGGGCCTAACCTCATGACCCTAAGACTGAGAAATGAGCTGAGATCAAGAATCGACACTTAACTCACTGAGCTGCCCAGGTACGCCTAAAACAAAAGTCTTAAAAGTGATCAAAGGAATTAACTGCATAAGGAATGAGTATCAGTATATTTTGAAATACAGCATATATTGTGTTAAAGAGATTCAAAGGGATATGGAAGCTCATGGAAGACTGACTCTATCAGATTGTAGAGAATCACAAAAGAGGCAGTGGCTGAGGCAGTACTTTAAAAAACCTGGAAAATGGGCTGTATTTTGAGAAACATTCTAGGTGAACAAAGAACCTAAAACAAAAAAGCAAAGCCAGTATGGAAGATGGGATGCTAAACATTAGGATCAGGAATTTAAATAAATCTAGCACAACATGGTCTAATGAATACACATAGGATAATAACAGATATTCACAATGATGAAAAAACAAGAATGATTCACTGAAAGAAGTTGTTTTCCTGTGTGATTTTAGGAGACAAAAATGGATAAACTGTATACAATACATTAACTCTAGTGCAAATGAGTTAAAATTCAAAATGGGAAGAAACAGTAATTTTTTAGTATTTAAGCAGAAAAATTAGTGCTTTAAGTTGACTTTTTGGAATCTTAAAAATATGATGTTTTACCATTTTTCATTTAAAATAACCAGATCTAAATCTATGCCTGAAACTTTCAACTATGTCAACGAATACCCTAAACACACTGTTCTTTTATGTCTCACATCTCTGCAGATGAAGAGTATGTCATCAATTAGCCTGGATGATTTCCAGGGCTGGTGGTAGGTTGACTTGGACCACTCAGTGATTTTTTTTTCCCACCGTGGCATATCATACACACAAGAAAAAGCAAGGGTACTGGGCTGGATCCATAATCATAGAATAGATAATTTTAAAGAAAAGCTAAGTGGTTCATATGAAAGTATATCTAAAACTAATATTCAAGTTAACAATATCAATTTTAATCCCCTCAAAACACAAAAAGACAAAAAAAAATTGCTACTAGAGTTTAATAAAAAAGCCACATCTTTATTTGCTCCTACAAATATAGATTTATCACAATGAAAACAGTGAATACTATCAGTGTAGAAGAATTATGGTTCGGAAAGCTCAGTTTTAAGTTCTATCATATCAGAACCATGCTGTGTGGCTCCGGATGAAGATGCTCTGGAGTATACTTCATCCAACTGCTGCCATTTCCCTGGTTTTTAAAACTATACTCTGGGGGATCCCTAGGTGGCTCAGCAGTTTAGTGCCTGCCTTTAGCCTGGGGCGTCAACCTGGGTTCCCAGGATCGAGTCCCGCATCGAGCTCCCCGAGTCCCGCATCGAGCTCCCCGCATGGAGCCTGCTTCTCCCTCTGCCTGTGTCTCTGCCTCTCTCTGTATCATGAATAAATAAATAAAATCTTAAAAAAAAAAAACTATACTCTGATACAATATAACATGAAACAATTTTCTCTTACATGGGCTAATAAGTGCTTTAAGTACTGTTGCTTAGGGGGATAATCAGTTTTTGGAAATCTGTAAACTATTCCCATTGAACAGCCTTATTAGCACAATTATTAATAAAAATTATTCCTATTAATGTCACCTTAATTTATGTTGTGCTTCTCTAATCACGCAACAATCGTTAAAAACTTCCCCTCAAAATGAAATTGTATTTTCATAAAGGCGATGTAGAAAGGACACATGGCTTAACGTTCTCTTTGAGGATGATGTTTTAACTTCTTGCTTTATGGTAATGTGTGGATGTAGGAGATCTTAAACCCTCTGGTTATAAGACAACATAAAAAAAATGAAGTATAAAAAACCTCAAATTAATTAATAAATTTGCAAAAATGCAAAGGAACTAAGCTGAGCCAGCAGTGAAGTCTATGCATAAGTGAGGTAAGCAAGGGGAGAAGCTGACCATGCACCACATGGAAATGTCGAGACCTTAAGACAGTGAGTTGTGCACTGGACACCTTACAGGCTAATAAGAGGGCACCCTACAGAAAGCTGGGGTTCATGACATACTAGGGCCTGAAAAAAGCAGTGAAATATTAGAATACACACAGACAAAATCTGAGATTTCAGGATTCTTCACCAGCTAATATGCACCTCAGCTCTCAATCTACCTATCTGTATCGAAAAAAATCCGACAGAAGACAAATACAAAATCCTTGTACAGCTACAACCTTCAACACAGCTTCCAAGAATTCAGAGTCCTACTACATGTGATTTTTCCCATGAAATCACAAAAATACACAGGAAATAGCACCTTCAACTCAAAACAAAGGAAGAACCAGACGTCTAGTCAATAGAACTACTGAATACAACTATAAAATTGGTATTTTAACATATTTAAAATAAAGAAGGAATTTAAAAAATCATAAGCAAATACTTATGCAGAGTTAAAAGACAAGTTAAAAGAACGGAGTATGCAGATTCCTTAAAACCCTACAAACAGTTCTGAGGTGGACCCTACCCTTCCCTTTTTGTAGCTAGTACTCCTTCCATTCGGGTACAGTGATTGTTATTACTTGTCCAAGATCACACAGCTAGTTGACCCAGGGCTTTAGTTTTCTAATCCATTTGGAAACCTGAGTTGAAGGGGAAGAGTCCATCAAAACTGACCTGGCACACTTCAAGAAAGGTCTAAAAGAATTTCTAGAACTGAAAAATATAAATGAAATTACAAGCTCAATAAAAAGATTAAATAGCAGATCCTGGGCAGCCCCAGTGGCTCAGAGGTTTAGCGCCACCTTCAGCCCAGGGTGTGATCCTGGAGACCCGGGATCGAGTCCCGCATCAGGCTCCCTACATGGAGATGGAGCCTGCTTCTCCCTCTGCCTGTGTCTCTGCCTCTCTCTATGTGTGTCTCTCATGAATAAATAAATAAAATCTAAATACATACATACATACATACATACATACATACATAAATAGCGGATCCCTGGGTGGCTCAGCGGTTTGGCGCCTGCCTTCGGCTCAGGGTGTGATCCTGGGGACCTGGGATCAAGTCCCGCATCGGGCTCCCAGCATGGAGCCTGTTTCTTCCTCTGCCTGTGTCTTTGCCCCCCTCTATCTCTCTAATAAGTAAAAAAATCTTAAAAAAAAAAAAAAGATTAAATAGCTAAAGAAATACAACTGAGCCTAGAAGTAGCAAATTAAAAGAAGCAAAAAGATTACCCAGACTGTAGCAAAAGGAGAGAGAAAATATGAAAGAGGACTTAAAACACAGGAATATAAATAAGGTACATCCAATCGGCATTCCATAAAGAGAGCACATGGGGAATGGAGAGGAAACAATATTTGAAGAAATATAGGTTGAATTTTCTAGAAATGATAAATGATTCTAAATATGAAAGGGCAAAAACGTTACAAAATAGAAAATATCCACTAAAGTTAAAACAGCAAAAGATCATTAACCTTGTTAATACTCTTCCATGAAATATAAAATAGGTGATTCATGAAACAGACAAAAACAGAAAAGTGGTTCTAGAACTTCCATTTGTAATATGGCAGAAAGACACACATGCTCAGTGAATTTTTTTTTTTAAATACATTATCGTCCTGGCAAGAACAAATGGAACATTCAGAAGGAAGAATTAAGAGAAAATGGGAACTTCAGGGGATAAAATGAATAATATAGGTGTTTCCCTTTGGGGCAAACCAAGGACCTAGTGCTGGTGCTCACTGCCCCGCAGGGCAGAAAGACAAGGCCTAGGGTAGAAGATGTCTTCTATAAAAGGTGGATGTGGTAGCAAGTGGGAAAGTGTGTAAGTTCCAGCGACTGATGAAAACAGCAAAATGAAATGCAATGGTGACAGAGGAGCTGAGAGTATAGATTTATGGCAGGGTCTAAAGAAACGTGCACACAGTGTCCACAGCCTTTTCCTCTCCTTTGGCAGGAGGACTCTACAAACTCCAAGGAGAGGCTTCACCCCAGTCTCCTCTCCTCTGCTGCATTTGTTTCAGGTCCTTAGGTAATCTTTTAACATTTTAACATGAAGCCCTAGAAATGGATGAAAATGTACATAAACCATTCTTTCAGATCCCCATCACTTAATGAGTATAAATAATTATTTTAAAAAACTTTTCTAAAAACACCCACGAAGGAGCCCAGTGAACTTTCTCCTACCCGCCCCCCACCCTCCAGGAGCTCACGGCAGATCTCTGTCACACACCTGACAGCTGTGATCAGTGTCCAGTCCATCCCACAGACTCATAAACTGAGCTTTCATCATGGCTGTAGCTTCATGGTCAGAACTTGAACGGTTTCGCAGAAAGGAGTCTAAAAGGAAAAAGTCCTCAACCTTAGAAGTAATATTGAATTATTTACTCTTAACTTCAAATCCTTAATCAAAAGCTGACAATGTTGTGAAAGAGGACAAAAAAGAGGGTTCAACTATGCCTTTTCACACATTCATCTAATACAACTTTGGCAAACAACTGACCAATTAAAACTCCCAATCTTCATCTCTTTCCTAATTACATTCATGCCAAAGTATCTAAAGAGGTACATGATGTGGTACTAAAAGGTTGGAAGAGGAGCAAGTAGTGTCTTGGAGGAAGGTTGTGTGCTTCGGCCCTAACTTTGCAGGTTACCTGCATCCTATATATTCTGAATTATGGGATTGCATCCTTTTTCCTCACACACTTTTCCTGGAAATAAAGAAAAATGACACTGGAAAATGTCAAAACACTACCAAGTAGGAGATGCAGGACAGAACCTGGTTTAAAACACACATGCGTGTGCATATACATCATCTAAAGTAAAAAGGCCTTCAAGAAAGTATGCCAAAATGCTAATTGCTTTAGTTATCTCTCAATGATAGACTTAAGGACAATTCAAATTTTCTCTTGAATTGTTTTCTGTCCCCTCAATTATCTACAAAGAACATGAAATACTTTTAAAGGGGGGAAAATATTTTCCTTCTAGAATAAAAAGACCTGGAATACAGTACATCCTAGGAATAAAGAAAAGACAGTAAAAATAAAGCCTGATTTCCTAGTATAATCCTATTTCAAATTTTTTCTTATAACCCTTCAAATAAATGGCATTTCTGAGTACATTTTACATTTCAGCATTGATACTATGACTTGAAATCGGTCAGTCTATACATGCAAGAAATTAGAAATGCTTTGCAATGTGCAAGGTCCATCCAAAGCTTTAAAAAAAAAATTATTAAGCAAAAACCTAATACCATGAGGTGACAGTCTTCTGACGGCAAACATATATCCTGGATTTTCTTATGTAGCTCTGATTTTATAAAGTCTATCTCATTGCTGGGCTATGTACCAAACTAATCCATCTTCTCGATGTAGAATATACTGTCATTTTTAAATTGCTTCTTTTTAAAGACAGTATGTATAAGTACAGCCACATACCTAACCACCATAACTCTATTTATTATTCCTAAACTATCTTCATTACTAAGAGGTTGGTTCTGGCAAAACAGCAGCATAAAATGATACGAAAAACTTAACATGCTGAATAAGTATAAATAACCTAACTATATTAGTAATTACATTAAGTGTAGATGGTCTTAAAGTACCCAAGTACATGGTTAAGAAAAATTAGACTGGATTTAAAAAAAAACCTAAAAACTCAACTGTCTGTTTACAGTAGACCCACTTTATACCTAAGAGCTCAGATGCTAAAAAGGATGGAAAAGACATATATGTAAATACTAACAAAAAAGTTGGAAAAGGGAAGCCTGGGTGGCTCAGTGGTTGAGTGTCTGCCTTTGGCTCAGGGCATGATCCCAAGGTTCTGGGATTGAGTCCTGCACTGGGCTCCACACAGGGAGCTCGCTTCTCCCTCTGCCCGTGTCTCTGCCTCTCTGTGTCTCTCATGAATAAATAAAATCTTAAAAAAAAAAAAGTTGGAAAATATTATTTTTTGAAACTTAATGCATACATGACAAATGGTGCTAGAATAACTGGAAATCCGTGTGCAAAAACTGCATCTAGATACAGATTTATACTTTTTCACAAAAATTAACTCAAAATGGATTATAGATCTAAATGTAAAACAAAACTATGAAATTTGTAGAAGATAATACAGGAGAAACTCTAGGTGACCTAAGGTCTGGTGATGAGTTTTTACATATAACACCAAAGGCATAATTAATCAAAGGAAAAAAATGGTTAGGTTGGACTTTATTAAAATTAACAATTCTGAATAAAGAACAAAAAAAAAAAAAAAAGAAAGAAAGAAAAGAAAAACAATTAAAAACTCCATTCTGGGGGCAGCCCGGGTGGCTCAGCAGTTTAACGCCGCCTTCGGCCCAGGGTGTGATCCTGGAGACCCGGGATCGGGTCCCATATCGGGCTCCCTGCGGGGAGCCTGCTTCTCCCTTCTGCCTACGTCCCTGCCTCTGCCTTTCTCTGTGTCTCTCATGAATAAATAAATAAAATCCTTTAAAAAAAAAAACAAAACTCCATTCTGTGGAAGACACTATTAAGAGAAGAAGTAAGCCACAGGATGGGGAAAAAAGGTTTACAAAATACCTATCTGATAAAAAGCTGGTATCCAAAATATACAAAGAACACTTACAAAATGACATGAAGGAACCTTAAAAGCATATTGCTAGGCAGAAGAAGCCAGTCTGAAAAGGCTATGTATTGTATGATTCCAATCACGATATCTTGTAAAAGGCAAATAGTCAGAAGCTCAGTGGCTGCTGGGAGTGAGCAGGTGAGGCACAGGGACTTTCAGTGTGGTGAAACTACTGCCGATGTAGAAATTACAACCAGGGATCCCTGGGTGGTGCAGCGGTTTGGCACCTGCCCTTGGCCCAGGGCGCGATCCTGGAGACCTGGGATCGAATCCCACGTCGGGCTCCCGGTGCATGGAGCCTGCTTCTCCCTCTGCCTATGTCTCTCTCTCTCTCTCTCTCTCTCTCTCTGTATGACTATCATAAATAAATAAAAATAAAAAAAAAAAAAGAAATTACAACCAGTACGGAGGATATAAAATTAGAGAAAGTGTTAACACGTAAAAGATGAGTGGAATGATTAGTGTTTAAGAGTTGTAAGGTTCCTGTATTATTTGGGAAGAGGGCAGAAATGATTAGCCTAGACTTTTTTTTTTTTTTAATTTTTATTTATTTATGATAGTCACACACACAGAGAGAGAGAGAGGCAGAGACACAGGCAGAGGGAGTAGCAGGCTCCATGCACCGGGGGCCCGATGTGGGATTCGATCCTGGGTCTCCAGGATCGTGCCCTGGGCCAAAGGCAGGCGCTAAACCGCTGCGCCACCCAGGGATCCCAGCCTAGACTTTTAAAGCAAGTAGGTATGCTAAATGTTTCACTAAAAGAAAAACAGTATGTAACTTCTAAACTTATAGCAGGGAAAAGGAGATAAAGTTCAAAAAGTCCACTAAATTGGTAAATAAAAAGCACACAGTGATGTAATAGAAATAAATCTAAATATATCAGCTATCAAAATAAAGGCAAACTGACCATACCTCCCAGGTAAAGTATCTTAGATTAAAACTTTAAAGAAATCTAGGGATCTCTGAGTGGCGCAGCAGTTTGGCGCCTGCCTTTGGCCCAGGGCGTGATCCTGGAGACCCGGGATCGAATCCCACGTCGGGCTCCCGGTGCATGCATGGAGCCTGCTTCTCCCTCTGCCTATGTCTCTGCCTCTCTCTCTCTCTCTCTCTCTGTGTGTGTGTGTGTGTGACTATCATATATAAATAAAAAATTAAAAAAGAAATCTAGCTGTCTAAAAAAAAAAAAATCTAGCTGTTACATGCTTTTATGCAAAATTCACGTCAAAACTCCAAAACTGCTGTAATAAATGGATGAGAGACACACAAGTCAGACAAGTAACCAAAGTTCTATATACATATAACCAACTTTTCTCTATTTCTATATGGCATGTAATGTTAAAATTAACTCAAAGCTATAGTTTTAATTACCATAGCTTTATTATGACTCACCACAGCAGGAATACAAAATACTGATGATCCATAAAATACAGAAAAAGTGCACTAATTCCTGACATATAGGGAAAGATGATGTATTTTGAGTTGGCTGTCCATATGGAAAAGAATGAAATTAGATTCCTACTTCACACTATATAGTTTAAAAAGAGGAATATTTATGATGATAGTGAAAGGATCTGTAAGCCAGACACAGAAAGTATAAATCATAAAGAAAAAAAAAGGAAAAATACAACTAAATTTAAATCTCTGTAAAAGAAACTATCATAAAGTAAAAACATGAGCCAGTCTAGAAAATATCTGCTATCGTAATAAACAAGAAAATGCAAATAACCCCAAAGAAAAACTGGCAATTTACAAGCAAGGAAACCCAAATGACTAGTCAACATGTTCAAAGATGCCCAAATTTACCAGCACCGCAGGGAAACACAAAATGATAATTCATGTTCTTTAAAGTGACAAAACAAAACAAGCTAATGTCTGAAAAAACAAATTTTATGGAGTATGTAGGGAAATTGCAATGGCAAGAGTGAAAAGCATAAGCACTTTGAAGACAGACCCATCACACAACCTAATGGCCCAACTTCTAGGCATCTACCCTGGATAAACACACATGTGTAAGGAAACATGTGCACGGTGTCACTGCATGCTGCTTGCAATGGGGAGAAGACAGAAATTACTATCAAGTAAGGATCAAATTATGGTTCATTCTGTAATATGGAAATTATACAGAGCATATATTGATGTTGGTTACCTCTTTTGTTTTATTAATTTGACCTAATAAATACCAAAAACTAAATCTGGTCATCTAAATACTACCCTTAAGAATGGTGCTTTAAAATGCTCACACAGAAAAGTCACACACCTATTTCATCTATAAAAATGATGGAAGGCTGTAGCTTTATGGCAAGGGAGAAGACAGCAGCAGCCAGTTTCTGGGATTCTCCATACCACTTATCGGTCAGCGTTGAAGGCTGAAGGTTAATAAATCGACAGCCTGCTTCTTTGGCGGTAGCCTTGGCAATCAACGTTTTACCACACCCTGGAGGCCCATAGAGAAGAACACCTGGAAATTAACAGAGGATTTTATTATTTCCTTGAAGAGGAGATATTTGCTTTAGTTTATGTGATACTCAACATAATCACTTTTCAAAATATATTTTTCCTAAGTTACCTGAATTTTCATGATGCATCAAAACATGGAACATGGTGAAATTCACAAACATAAAATACACCAAAATGATTATTGAAGTTAGAATTTATAGGGAGAACTATGTAAGTATTCAGATGGAATTTTAATCGTCAATTTTTAAACATCTGGAATAACAAAGGGTTGGTTTTTTAATACAACCATTAATATTTTATGACACGTTCTCGCAACCATTTATTGGCATGACAGCTGCAACTTTATGTGATTGTATGATCTCATGTACTAGTATATTATAAGTCATTCTCAAATTATCATTGTGTAATCTGTGAGGCAGAGATGACTTTTGGCTTAGATACAAATGAACTGTCTAGGGATAACATAAAATTGGCAATAAAGCAATGACCTATAAGTAACCTATTTCCAGTTCAAAAATGGAACAGGCTATGGTATGCAACTGACTTTATGCTTTGCTTCTGTACACTAACTCCAATTTATGTTCAGGGTCAAAAAGTAAGTCAATTTTTGTTCCCGATAGAAAACTTTCCAAAAATGCAAGGTAGAAAAGACTCAAACAGTATAGATTACAACATCTGGAGATACTTGTGTTAACTTACAAAAATTTGAAATACACATAGATACCACCTCTAGCTGTAGATAATGCTTTCAAATAAGCACCAGATTTACACATAACTTTGAAGTATCCCATTATAATTTGGTATCTACTGTGCTAATTGGGGTAAATGCAACTGGTGAAGTCACCCAATTTCCTGGGCTAAGAGCTGGCAGATGAGGAAACGAGATTTATCTAATAGCATGTAAAACACATCTCACTTTTCCAAATTCACTTTGTGAAACCGAGACATGAAAAATCACAAAAGTCCTTTCTTGCTCAGACTACCAACATCCTGGAAGAGGGAAGTAAAGAATGTAACTGAATAACCCAACTTTTACTTTACTCTTTTGATCGAGGCTCAGATAAATCATTTGAATTTTCATTGGGGGCCAGCAGGGAGGGATTTTTAAACATGTAATCAACTAAATGTTTTTGTTAGGGGAAAACAGCTTTGTTGTTTTTAGAAAATAAAAATACCTAATAAACAGTTTTGTTGTTTCAGTTAATAAAAAAAACATGTCATTTTGGTGGTAACTGTCATCAGCATTTACCAGAAGCAAAAATTATCTACTTCATGAAAACATAAAGATATCAGCTCCAATTACTTTCAATATATAAATTAATGTACTTTTTGATATAACTCCAAAATTAATAAGATATATGCAACTATAACTTACACATAGCACTATTTTGATATTTCTATAGATTCTATTTTTTAACTAAAATAGATGTGCCTAATAATTTGATTTCAGCCTTGACTAGCAACAGAAAAGCAAACCTGTCTAGTGCTGGGAATAGAAGAGCAGCTTCCACTGCATTTCCACTAGCTGGAAATAAAGCTCTGCTGCAGTGTTTGTTCTGGAAGCTGTGGTAACACACTTCTGTTTATCTCACTGCCAATTATCACCTAGGCTCCATCTGAATCACCTTTAACAACACTTACACATGATTAATATTTGAATGGACAAGAATAAAAGTGCTATACTTAAAGACAGAGTTGTAATCATTTCCTTTTTTTTTTTTTTAAAATAAGCATTTCCAATTCTTGAGTTCTAGGACTTTCAAAGTGATTACCACCACTAGGAACAAAGAACTTTCCCTTAAAAATAAGTAGTATTTAACTCCTAAGTTCATCCATATATCAGTATATCCTCTAAAACATCACTGCAATCCAAAAATAATTAAGAATACTAAAAGGATAAAAAAAAAAAATCACTAAACAAAAAGAAGTTTTACTTTGAAAACAAAAGAACCCATATCATGGCTTTGGATTTTTTCTTTTTTAACCTCAATTTCCCAAATTTTTATTTTCTTTGGAAGTAGTAAAAATGAGTTTGAAATAAAAGGATTGTTTTGACATGTAATTACGGGAAAAAATTTTACTGAAATTTGGGAAGCTGAAGAATGAGCAATTATTTTAAAACTATTTATACAACTCACAAGATTTCAGTTTTCTCTTGAAAACTACCCTCAAAAAAATACCAGTTCGATAATGGCAGAAAGTTCCAATTTTCCCTACATTTTTAATACTTTAGCAAATATAAACTCGTACTATACCCTTTGGAGGCTGCAGAAGCCTGGAATTTTCAAACAAATGCTTCTTTTTGATGGGTAGGATGACCGTGTCTTTCAGATCCGTAATGACATCATCTAAACCTGCTATATCACTCCAAGTAACCTGGTAAAAGGTAAGGTTGACATGGATTTTACAACCTAGTGTATACTCAATGAAGTTAAAAAAAAAAAGCCCCCCAAATGGTAAACCTTAATCTGATAATTATATGTAAATAATAAAAGACAAATATATAATGTGAGTAAAGACTTTTCACAGCAATAATGATATTACTAAACTATGAAATTACAAAAATGAACTTAATAGTCAACAATCTACTATTAAAAAAAAAAAAAACCACCACTAGGCCCAGTACTCAGAACTCTACCAACATCTAATAAGCTGAATTCACTCCATTTACAAGGAGATACTCTGCCAAGAAGACTTGAGAACCAGCTCAGACAGCTAAGTCAGCGCTGGCTGATGGGGAAGAGCTTACCAGGAGTGTCCCTAATTAATACAAGATACTGTCAAATATAACAGGAATAGGTTTTAGAAATAGTCACACAAAACTGGACTTCTGAATTGTATTAACCGAAAGTAAAACTGTGCCAAAACTTTTATCTTTATAAATAGTAAGCAAGGGACAAATCCTTTCAAGATAAACACAGCTTACGTATTTTAAAGCCTTCTGACTCAACTTAAAAAATCTGGGGCTTGAGGGGTACAGGGGAGAATAAACTAATTGAAAAAGACCTAAGAAGAAAAACATCAAACCTAGCTCTACCCTGGCAGAGTAAAGGGGCTGGAGGTGGGGTGAGTCAGAGGCAATGTTTGCAAGTGATCTACTTTCCCTACAACTTAAAAAAAAAAAAAAAAAGTGAAAAAACAGCCAAATCTGAAAAAAAACATCACCTACTTCCACTGTCACTGTAACAAAAAACCGAGTTGCTGGTTCAGCCTTACTCAGAAGTGAACACAAGTAGGGCCAAGAAAGTCTCACTGAAATTTTATAAATCAAATTCAAATGGAGGATTAATCCCAGGGACACGTATCTCTCTGTGCACATGGATACTAACAGACATTATAGACTTTTATTTTCCAGATTTGGAGACAGGGATATAATATTCATTCCATTCATTTATATCTGCTGTACAAATTTTATGCTTGTTGTTGTAAAATATTCACACAGGATCTTAGAGTTTATAAATTACACTAATCTGATGTTCAAACAACTGTTTGAAGTAGGTAAAGCAGGTATCACACGGTCCCTGGATTATACAGAAGGGAATGGACACTCAAAGAGGAAGTCATTTGTCAAGGCCATGAACAAAAAAACTGGAATTCACGATCTTATGCTGTCTACATACCTTATGAAAATTTACATTTAAACCCCAAATCAAATAGCTCTGTAACTTAAATTAAGACACTTGACATGCCACGAAGGTGAATTAAAGTACAAGTTATCTAAACAAGCGTATGTCCAAATATGCTAACATAGCAGACTCCAGACTGCTGTCCTTAGAAAGGCCTGCCTGCAAGGCTGGACCTTGGCTGGAGTATGGGAGCAGAGATTTCGGGGTAATTCTCACCACTCTCCAATAAGAACACCTCACTGTGCCTAAACTGTTTGTGCAAAGAAAATGGTTTACGGTGGAGGTGTCTTCTCCCTCTGAAAGGCTAGAATTTGGGGAGATGTTAGGAAGTGGAGTCTACATGACTAATCCCAATCAAAAACCTGGGCGCTAATAAATCTCTCATGGGCTTCCCTGGTGAAGAGCACTTTACATGTGTTCTCACAACTTGCTGCCAAAGGAATGAAGTGCAACCCATGTGACTTCACTGGGGGAATTCCGACTCCTGGAAGCCTGTGCCTGATTTCCTGCAGAATTCATCCCATGCCCCTCTTTTCTTTCTGATTTTGCCTTGTATCTCTTTGTTGTACTAAATCATATCTGTGAGCACAAAACTGCTGAGTCCTGTGATTCCTCCAAGAGAATCATCAAATCAGGTCGTCTTCAGGACCTGTGACACAAAATGCTAGACCAAAAACATGTTAAGTAAGATTAAAGATACGTACATGCATGTTAAGAGGGTCTACTAGATGAGCAGCAATACTCATTTCATATTCTGAAAGCTTCACATTTTTCACACCAATCTGTTTCATTAATTTTTCTGCCTAGAATGAAAAAACAAGCAGCTTCCTTTAGTTTGATATTTAGGCACTGGTACTCCAAAAGAGGTTATCTGTGAAGGTTAAAGAGCAATGAACAGCCATACAAGAATTTTCCAGGGAAATTCTAGGCCCCTTGATCTCATCTTTCCCCAGCGTAAGGCCTGAGGTAAAGAAAAGATTTGAGGGGCGCCCGGGTGGCTCCGTGGTTGAGCATCTGCCTTTGGCCCAGGGCGGGATCCTGGGGTCCTGGGATCAGGTGCCGCCGCTGGCTCCCACAGGGAGCCTGCTTCTCCCTCTGCCTGTGAGTTCTGCCTCTCTCTCTCTCTCCCGCTCTCTCTCGCTCTCTGTCGCTCATGAATAAATAAATAAGCAAATCTTAAAAAAAAAAAAAAACCTATGAGCTTTAACAATGCAACAAAGCTTTCAATTAAGATTTTTAAAAATAATGATTTTACAAACATTTACTGAGTGTGTGGAGTATTATGCCAAAATACTTAAATGGATTAACTCACTGAATCCCCTGTGTGAGCTTATGAAGTAGAATTTTTCCCCACTGAGAAAAGGAAATTAAAGATTAGCTCAGATGAAATTAACTTGCCTTAGGTTGGAGTTAGCAAATGGAAAAGACAACATACACATGTGGGCAGCCCAACTCCAGAGCCCATCCTCTAACCACCACCCACATGACTTTGCCGTCCTCAACTATAAGAGAGGAATCTGTGACCACTAAGGAGTCTTAAAAAATCTAAGGAAAACACATTCAAATTTCAATTAACTGAACATTTTTAGAAATAAAGGTGCTCTGATAAATACCAAAATTTTTATTACGTTTGCTCTCCTAAAATACTTTTTAAAAAATCACGTTGTATCCTTTATTTTATATATATATTTTTTATTTTTTAAGATTTTATTTATTTATTCATGATAGAGAGAGAGGGAGAGGCAGAGAGAGACACAGGCAGAGGGAGAAGCAGGCTCCATGCCGGGAGCCCGATGTGGGACTCGATCCCCCATCTCCAGGATCACGCTCTGGGCTGCAGGGGGTGCTAAACCGCTGAGCCACCGGGGCTGCCCTATTTTATGTATTTTTAAAGTAGGCTCCACACCCAATGTGGGGCTTTAACTCATGACCTTGAGATCAAGAGTAGCATGCTCCCCCCATGCTCCCCCCAAGCGAGCCAGCCAGGCACCACCCAAAATACTTTTGATTCTAAAGATTTGTTCTTGTCAGGGGGTACTGCCAGTTCAAAAGGGAATTCCTATCACAGGGCATCATAGTTAGAGATTGGTCAGAAGATTAGGACAAATGTGGATAAATTAAGATAAATCATATCCTTATGATGTAGCATTTTTTAAAAAGAGCTATGAACCACACTGTTTTTCCTCTTTAGCCTTCTTCTATAAAATTACTGAAGCAATGAATAAAGTAGCCTTTCTCAGGTTCTTTAATCTCTTTCTTGTAAAGATCTTCTCTTCTGCTGACTTTAAATCTTTTGTCAGCTACGACAGGTGTCCTATTTTAGTATCTATAACAACATCAATTTACTCTTCTTTTTCATTATGCTTCTATAAATGTGAAGCCAGCCCACACGTGTTCTTTTTAGGCTATGCTGTAAAACACTGGTTTTCAACCAGGGGTGATTTTGCCACTCGGGACATTTGGCAAGGTCTGGGAATACTTTGGCTGCCACAACCTGGGGGAAGGGGGTGCTATTAGTATTTAGTCAGAGGAGACAGGGATGCTGCTAAACATTCTAAAAGGCACAGCATAGCCTGCCCCTGGCCCCAATGTCAACAGTGCCGAGTTAAGAAACCCTGCTGATCACCCCCCACCCCATTAGCTACTTGCTCTTAAAATTTTACTCTAGACCAAAACTGCCTCTTGGTTTATATAGTAACAACCTTTATTTATGTCTAGGGTTTCCTAAATGACAAATATCAGCTATGTTGTTTATGTTACGGAGCTAGAAAATGCTATGGTCCAATTTACCTAAAATTTACCTAAAATCTGTTCCCCATAAAAGCAGTCCAACGTCTTCAGGTTGCATTTACAACATTGACAGAAGAAAGAAATTAAGGTTTAATGGGCAAAACTCATTTTCATTTTTTTTTACAATCAGCCTTTAAAATCATCCTGATAAGTAGCTATTAACATGCTCATTTTTCAGATGAGGAGCCCAAGGGTCAGAGCAATTAAAAGAACTGCCGAGATTATGAGCTAGGAATTGGCATTTCCAGAGTTCAAACCCTGATGTGTCTAATTCCAAAGCTCACGTTCTGCTCAAATACTAATACTCCTCATTTGGGAGAGCAGGACACAGTTAACAAACAAATGAACAAAAAGAAAGTACCCTCAAACCCATCATACCAACACTAAACTGTGTTCCAGAAGTTATTCAACTGTTTCTAGCTCTGACACCCTTAACTGAGTCCATTTCTGAAATGTTTTACCAAGAAAAACAAAATTATGATTTGATTGTACTCTTAAGATTTAAGACAGCTCAGTGACAATTATATTTTCTAGTTACCAACTTTTGTTTGTTTTTTTCTTAGAGCGAGTGAGCACGTGTAGGCACAAGTAGGCGGAGTGGCAGGCAAGGGAAAAGGACAAGCAGGTTTCTAAGTCATTGTCACTGTGGAGGAAAAATGGTGGGCTGGGGGGAGGGGAGTCAAAGGTAGGAGGGAACCTTACTTTTTACTGTACACTCTTTTTAACTGTTTCATAGAATGTTTTTATCTTTTCATGCTATTTGTTTTTTTCCACGTAAAGTATTCGTCTTAAGATTAAGTGGGGTAGGAAATAGAAAACTAATATTTTTTGCCTAGAAAGGGAAGAGATGGAGAAAAGGAGTAGCAGAAAAGAAACATTTCGTTCAGTTTCTGAAAGATCCAGAAAATTGGTTGTTCTTTTGGAAGAATAATTTTTAAAAGTTAGAGATAGCATTAACAAGGGTGAAAAAAACAGAGATCAACTATAAACTTACATTTTTTTAAATAGAAGTCATAGCTAAACTGCTGTAAGTGGATAGAAGAAATCACTGATACAAAGCTCATAAAAATACATTTAAAATAGGAAACACCAAAAGATTTGAGTGATTAGCTCTATGTATTAGATATAATCTCCTATAAACTCATATAAAAATTCTAGAGGAGACAAGTCATCTCCCCCTTTAGGGTCAGTGCACTGTCTGCCTTCTGGTTTTACTGCGTGTATTCTGGAAGTTGTAGGGTAAGAGGGCTTTCGACTCCGGCGCTCTTCCACTGTGCTTGTGCGTAGAGCACGATGCTGCAGGGCCTTCTCTCCCTGACTTCCTCTCTCTGGCTGCCTTCTGTCCCCATCCCTTCTACCTACTGCTTGGCCTAGCAGGCAGCGCTAACTGTGTGTTCCTTCCTGGCACAAGGAATCTAAGATTCAGCACCAGCAAACCTTCGTTGTGTGAGCCATTGATCGATCATGGAGGTCAGGATGGCTTCCCGGTGTCGGTAAGCTTTAGCTGTCCCCGTGTAACCGGCATTCGAGGACAGCTGCTCTTAAAAAAACCAGGCAGCGACAGTTCAAGGTTTTGTTTTTAATTTTTTAAAGGTTTCAGTATATCATCTCTTCACAAAATATTTCGGCTAATAGTTCTTCAAAATAACTAAAAGTTTCGAAGACTAGAGTATCATGACAGGACTAAAACAGAAGACATTAACTCCACTGAGGTCACAGGACACGACTTTCATGTGTAGGAAGAATTCTCAGTAGGGAGTCTTTCCTGGTCTTTGACTATTAAACTACAATCTCAGAAATATCACACAGTCTAACTCTCAGAAATGTTACACAATCTAATTAAGATGCTAAACCCAGTATTTTATTTATAAATGCTCAGAACAGGTTAAGCATTAAGCTATTCATCCTGTACTTAGAGCACTTAAATAGAGAGCTTACCTAGAGATTCCATTTTTCTACATCTCAATTAACCCCACCCTTTCATCAGGCTTATCCATCAAAACTCTTCTACTACATCTAAATACGATCCAAGCAGCAGCAGATGCCCAGAAAATCCCCGTCCCTGTAGGACACCCTGCGGAAACCATCTCCTCTCTCATGACGGATTAAATGCCCCACATTTCACCAAGCTGGGAAGTTTTCCTGGCTTCAGGCTAGAAGTTGTTTACAAATAATTTAATTCAAACATTAAGACTACTTCTAAGTCACCGTTCGAGATTTGAATGCCCCGACATCATCTTTTACCCCTTTCATCTGACAACTGCACTGCCTTTAAATTTGCATGAGGCTCACGGATTACCAGGTAGCCTCAAAATGTTACCTCAGCTTCTACATTCAGTGCTCTTCCTTTCTGACCACAGAAGTCATACCTTCTTCCTCTCCCACATTCACATGTGATCTTTGTTCTCAATGTGTACTCTTAATTCTTTAATTCCCTTCTGTACTTTCACTTAATTATCTAGTAATTAGCTGGAAATATCTAGCTTCCTAAACGGCCTGGACCACAGCTCATCATTTCAACAATGTCTTCTGTTGAACCTCAGAACCCCTTACATTTGTACCAGTCAGCCTTACCCTCAAGGCTGGCTCCGCACCACCATTCCATTTATCTGCTACAAAGATGCTGAGAAATGCTCGGAGAAGTTAATAAAAACGAAACAACTAAATTCCCAATAAATTCATGCTTCCTTCAACTACACCCTAATGTTCATAATCCACAATGATTTCTCATTAAACACTGGTCGGTCACATACTTATCTTAGCAGGTCCTAAACCTCCATTTCCATTTAGTTATAACATCTCTCCACTTCACTGAGAGTAAATTAACTCTTCTTACAATGTCCTCAACTACTGATCCCAACCCCTCTGGGATCTAGCTCCATCCTCTTTGGTAGCAACTCCCCACCTCCTCCCTTTCCACTAGTCTTTTCCCTTTTCTTCCTTACCTTTCTGCCAGCAAATTCTGGAATGACCACCTTCTTTTGCTTCAAATGATACTTGCTGTCCCCAGTGA